ATGTGAGCAGCCATAATAAGATTTTCTCTTGTTATGTTATATATTTCCAGTGAGCAACTCGTCTAAAATTATTAATAATAATAATAATAATAAAAATTATTAAATAATTTAAAATTAAGCATATTTACATATATAAATTAAATTAAATTTTATATTTAAATTATTAATTATTGTGTGGATTTTGTATTAAATTTTTTTTTTTTTTTAGATGATAATTTGTGTGCCTTAAAGTTATTATAAATTATTATTATTATATTTTTAATGTTTTTGCATTCCAGTTTTTTTTTTTTCATTTAAAAGTTAACATGTCGTTTTATTATTTGTAATTATTTTATATTAATAAAAATAATAATTTCTATCCGGTAACTTAATTATTTTGTAATGTTAAGTAATTTGTCATAGCAAATTTTAAAACGTGTAAAAATTTACCTTATTGTGCATCTGGATTAAAAATTGCTGGAGCGTAGATGCCATATCAATCACAGATAAATTATTATGAGGTTTTAAAAGGGTTTCGTCAACTTCACTGTATCCCAAAAACATGAAAATACCATGAGGAATCGTGTAGTGACCTAAAATTATTTATTTTGTATGTAATATTTCATTCATTGTATTTAAGTTTTAAAAATGGTACTTAATGATTGTTTTTTTTTTTTGTAGTACGGTTGTACCTGGATGAGGTCTAACGCAAATAAATTTTCCAGAATAACATATGCATCGACCCCTGTAAGCCTGATAGGCTGGAGCTGCATGATTGTAAAAAGCAAATTCTGATTTACAAGCTGCTCTTTTAACGCATATAGTGCGACATTCCAAATGTTCTCCAATTTGACAATGGCACACTTCAGAACATTCAGGTTCATCGTCTTTATAGAGCTGCAGGTAAGAATATTAATTATTTTTTTTTAATTCCAATTTTTTTGGTCATATCGATGAGGTTAATGGTTGACTTACTCTTTTTGCATTTCCTTCAACTATATATTGTGCGGGTTGATTTTCTCTTTCAACCAGACAAAATTCTAAAATAAAATAAAATAATAAATTTTAATAGATTTTAATTAGCGATGGTTAAAGTTAAAACCTTACTTGGAGGAAGAGTTGTAGTCGGAGGGGTTGTGGTTGTGGTAGTTGTGGTAGTCGTAGTGGTTGTAGTTGGCGCAGCCGTCGTTGTCGTAGTTGTTGTTGTTGTTGTGGTCGTACTTGTTGTTGTTTTCATTGTTGTTTTTATAAAAACAGGAGGAGGTACGACGGTGGATGTCGTTTTTAATGTAGTTCTTTCGATTTTTTTCGGCAACACGGCCGTTATGGAATGATGTGCTTGAGTTATTTCATCTACGGTATTACTTTCTCGATTGCTGAAAGGTGAAAGTACGAGATTTGGAGTGAATGCCAAATCGTTGGCATGTATCACTTTACTTAAGTTCCTTTTAAAAAAAATGTTTCCCTCGGGAACTATATTTCCAAATCTTAACATTTCCGCTGGTAATATTTCTGATCTCTTGTTATAATAATCTAATTGAGATTGAACTAGAAAAAAAAAAAAAATTTAAAATAAGTTTTTTTTTTTTTTAAGGATTTTAAATTTGATTTAAAAAAAAAAAAAAAAAAAAAAAAAAAAAACACTAACTAACCTACGCATGGATTAAACCATAATAATCTTTGCCATCCGAGGCATTCGTATAATTGAGCAAAATCTGTGCCTTTGCAGTCGCATATATCTCTAAGTTCGGTACCTAAAATTCTTACCAAACCTAAGCGACAGTCATTTGTTGAGCCAGCACATTTTTTAGTGAGGCTATCAACAGCACAAGATTGTTCGAATGCTTCTAATCTGCTTCTATAAAGTTAAAAAAAATTTTTTTTTTAATTTTAAAATAATAATTTTGTGTTCTTTTTAAAAATTAATCAATCCATCACTTATACCTGCAATCTCTGTCTTCGTTGCATGTCAAAGCAATGCTGTGGCAAGCAGGTGTGGGACCTTCGACTCTTTGAGCGCATACAGGATGTAATTTTTCCTGAGCCACCAAACATTCATCATCTGGATTATCGGATCTCCTGAATAAGCAAAGTAAGAGAAATAAAAAAAAAAAAAAATTATTTATTAATTTTTGTTTGAAAAAAAAAAAACAACCCATAAATTTAAATAAAGAAGGGATGCGTCGTACGGTTGTTTTGTTTAAAGGAAAATTTTGGTTTCATTGATGTGGTCAAGTTGAAATGATTTCGTTTATCGGCCATGAAATTGTGAATGAAAATTCGGGAAATAAATAATGAGCGAACGGGAAAAGCTTTTGAAAGTTTTAAAATTTAATGTAACCGCATTGCGAAAGAAGGAAGAATTTTGAAAAGTTGAGAATCTGTCGAAAAGGGGAATAAGATATTTTTAGAGTTTTCAATAATAATTCAGAAAATTTAAATTTTTAAACGAAACCTCCTATAATTTTTTTATGAAAACTTATAAAAGAAAAGAAACTTTTTCAATTATACTACAAAATAAATTTGTTTTTCTTTCATAACAACGAAAAGAAACGTGATTTTCATTTATAAAAAAAAAAAATTTACCTGCATAGGCAATAAGCAATTTCCAATCGCCATTCGATACTAATATTTTCATAAAGATTATGAAGAGCTTCCCTGCACGATACCTGATGACAATTAACTTTATCGCAATGTCTTAAAACCGGCATCAAAGCTGAACGGCAGTCTTTGTCCTTTTGGCAACCATTCAACACGAAATGACAGGTAGATGTCAAACCGAGAGGTTTTCTAGACATTGCCGGATGATTTTCCGAAAATCCTCTTTTTTCCATTTCTTCATCCGAACCTAGACATATTTTTTTTTTTAAACACCGAAAATAAAATTATTGATTTGATATATATATATCCGGTGTGTGCAGTGATTAGTGAAATAAAATTATTTGTTTACACAATTTCGTTTCCGGTTTTTTTTTTTTTTTGAATATAAGTTTATAAATTAACAAGTGGCAGCCAAAACTTCATTACAAGGTTGTTATATTATTAATAATAATAATTCTCTAAGTTTGGCCACTCAATTGTTAATTAAGGGTTGTAAAAATCTTAGAGTTTATGTGTTTGAATAGAGCAAGAAGAAAGACTTGCCACGTTTTAATTGAGTTGAAATCTTAATTTGGTGGTGCTGTGGTAGTGAGTGCGTGCCTAGTGCTAGAGTATTTAGGCAGTGTGCTTGGGACCTGGGCTTAATAGAAGTGTAAGTTGTGCCAGTGCGAGTTAAGTGCCTTTGCCTGCGACCCTGAAACAGATTCATTAGATTTTATTTAACGCAGGCTTATTATTATCTATACAAAAGGTTGTAATTTTCAGAACACAAAAGCCTTAGAGGAAAGAGGTTAGAAAGGTTAGGTTAAAAGTAGTATTTTGATGAAATGACGGTTTTAAAAAAAAAATAATATTATAAATTATAAGCCGACTATTAACGTTTCAAATATATAAATATATATCATATATCCCGTTAATAATTCTCCAAAAAAAAAAAAAAAACTTTTGAAGAGGTGGTCGTGTGCGTGTGCGCGGCCGCGTGTGTATGTGGGTGTATTTTATTAAATGTACTCTTTCCACAAATTTAAGAATAATGAAAATTCTTTTTTTTTTTAAAAAAAAAAAGTTTATATGAAAAAATTTTTTGAACTTTTCTCTTATAGGTTGCCTAAAGGTCAATTTTACAACAAAAAAAAAAAAAAAAGAAAATTTTGTTACGCAAAAGGTTTTGAATTCATGAACAAAAAAAAAAATTCAACAAAAGTTCGTGAAGATCAATTTCCAAACAAGAGGAAAAAAAAAAAAAGGTAAAGTAATATTAGTGCCAACAGTATAAAAAAAAAATTCTTTTCAATGCTGCCAAAAAATTCCAATTCAAAAATTTAAATTATACATTGGAAAAACTTTTTATAAATTTTATGATTGGTTATTTCCATCCCCTCCCCCCGCTTCTCCTTTCCCGTTTTGAATATTTCATGAATTACGTCAGAACCAGTTTTTTTTTTTTTTTTTTTAGCTTTCGGTTTTTTTTTTCTATTCTTTTCTATTTTTTTCTTTTTCAGGTCATTCAAAAGTATATTAAATTAATAATTAAAACAAATTGTCTTTTTTTATATGGCCGTTAAAAAAAAAAAAAAAAAAAAACATCACAAATGCATTTGGTGTTATTTAAATGATAATCCACCATTTTAAAATACATTTATAAAGAGAGAGAGAGAGAGAGGGAGAGAGAGAGAGAGAGAAAGAAGGAAAATGGCTTCAGGTTCACAACAAAAAAAAAAAATAATTACTTTTCTTTTTTTCAATTGAATGAGGTTTGAAAGTAGATTTTGGAAGTAAAATGACCTTTTAAGTTTAAAAAGGAATCATTTTTTTTTAAATATAAATATTTACGATAAAAATATTTTGGGAGTTTTCCTTCCATATAACATAAACATGAGGTTTGTTGTACAAACAACAACAACAAAAACAAAACAAATGATGTAATTAATATTGTTTGTTATGATAACATCTTCAAATTCATTACACAGTAGTAACTGTTAAAAGGTTAAATATTATCGAAAATTGATTTTATTTGAAAATTTTAACGTTGTTAATTTATTAATATTATTATTAGTCGATGATGATGGTAATAAATATTATTATTATCATCATTACAGTGTTGTATAATTTCGCAACGAATACGTAACACGACATTAATTTAAATGATTTAAAATTTCAATCAGTTTAACATTCGTTTTTTAAAAAAAATCCTTTTTAAACTTTAAGTAAGAAAAAGGTTACAAAATATAAATAAGAATAAAATCAATAACAACAACAACAACAACCAAAACAACCAAAACAACAACAATAAATATTGCTTTAAAAATTACTACTACTAGTACTACTCTACTGCAAAGCTCAAAAGTAAATTCTAAGCTCAATTTAGAAAAAATAATTTTAATACAAAAAAACTAAACGAAATAATTTTCATGCAATGCCATGATTAAATGTATGTGTGTGTGTGTTTGTGCGTGTGCACGTGCGTGCACGTGGAAAATATTAAGTTTTATTACTCTGTCAAAATTATTGTAGAGAATTTTTTTCTTTTGTTTTTTTTTACGACGTTAAAAAATAAATCTTTTAATTTTATTAAGTAAAAAACCTTGACACCCTTAAACGTACATATTTGTATCTGTAAATGTATTTTTTTTCAAGGTCATAAGAAAAGAAAACACACCCCTAAGAAAATTGCAAAATTTATTTATTTTTTTATTATTATTATTAATAAGTCAATATGTAATTTAAAAAAAAAAACGGAAAAGTTTTTAAATAATAAAATAAAGTAATTAATGCGATATTTACACATCATTATAATTATTATTATTAGTTGTTTTAACAACGTTTTTTTTTTTATTTTATTTAAAAATTTATGTATATGTATTTAAATTTAATAACTTATGTATTACATATGTAAAGAGACGAGTAGAGTTTAAAAGAGATGAAAAAAAAAAAAAAAGAAAATTTTTTTTTATTTGAATTGCAAATTTTTCAAACACGTTAAATCTGATATGTTGATGCTTTTTTTTGGGGGGCAGGAGGGAAGGGGGGGGGGTTAAACAAGAATTTATTAAAAAAAATATATATTGAATATTGTATTAGAATAATTTTCTACCCTTAAAATTTACAATACACTTATGAACGATTATAATGATTTATTTTATGGGGTAACAAAAAAAAAAAAATTTTTCCTTTTTGTAATATATCGCATTTTGGAAAGAAAAGAAAAAAATTCAAATTTTTTATTTTCCGGGATTTTTATTATACTTTTCCAGATTATTTAATCACTTCGACGTTCATTCTTATACGTATAAATGCACGCACGCACACGCACACACACGCACAAAATGTTAATTAATGGTAAAAGTACAAACCCTAAAATTCCAGTGAGTTATTTTTTTTTTTTATATTTTATTTTTTTACGTTTAACTTACGAGTGAAAAAAACGAACGAACGTGTGATTAAATCGAACGGTGGTAAATTATTATCATTATCATTATTATTATTATTATTTTGTTTTTAATTTTTTATATATATATGTTCGGTCGATAATAATAATTAAAATCTCCCATGTAATTATTATTGTAAGTATTTTTTCGGTTTTTCCGACTAAATTACGTTTTAAAAAAAAATTTATGCTTTTCTTGCGAGAGAGAAAAAGAGAGTGAGTGAGTGAGAGAGAGAGAGAGAGAGAGAGTAATTTTTTTTTCCTTTCTTTCAATTTAACGATAATAATAATAATAATAATAAAAATTAACATAATTTATTATTACCGGAGAATAAAAAAAAAATAATAATAATACGTATATACGTATACTTATTCTTCTCTCACCGTAATAACATTTTTTTTTACATTATTATTACTATTATTATTATTATTATTATTAATAGTTATCACGAAAGTTATTACCAACATGAAATATATATATAACATAATAATCACGCAGATTTTTCTCGATCAATCCGATATTTTTTTCGTATAAAAAAAAATTGAATTTCAACGAAAAAAAAATTTTTTTTAACTTCCGCCCTTTTATATTATTATTATTATTATTATTATTATTATTAATATGAAAACTTTTTCTTTATATATATTTTAATTGGTAAGAAATTATTCAATGGTGGCCAACCTCGTGGTGGTGGTGGTGCACGCAAAAGAAATTTCCATTTATTCGAAGAATAGTAATTTACATATATAAATTTTAATTTTTTTTTTTTCCTTTCTTTCTTATTTTTTAATAACAAAAAGTAATAAACTACTAATTATTTTTCATTATCATTATCACTATTATTATTATTATTATTATTATTATTTCGAGACCGTATACTAACTTGATTTAAAACATAATATTATTACCACTATTAATATAATTAAAAAAAAAAAAAAAGAAAAAAAATGTAAAAATGCCTCGATGATATCAACAACCGTACAAACACAAACACAAACAAACACGTAATTAAGTTTTATGAATTTTTTTTTTTTTAGTAAATATTATTCGAAATAAGTTTTATTATAAATAAATAAGTGAAAATGATACAATAATAATAATGATAACGTTATTATATAAATTTAACGAGGAGGAGGAGGAGGAATTGGGAGAGAGGGGGTTTTAAGTTAATGAGCCTTAGTTATATAACCTTTCGACCGTTGAATAATTAAATAATAATAATAATAAAAAACCTTTTTATAACTTAAACCTTTTACTTTTCTATTTTTTATCAAAACTTATTTATTTTATTTATTTATTTATGTATACATAACACCTTTCCCCCTCCCTAACGGATTTTTGTTTGTTAAAATAAAATAAAATAAAATTTTCCTTGTTATTTTTTTTTTAATCTTTTTATTTATTATTTATTTTATGATAAAACATAATTTGTGAAAACAAGTTGATTTTATGTTTTTATGTTTTTGAATTTAAACGTTTTAAATTTTGCAAAAACCGCAAATTCGTTGTTGTTGTTTAAAATTTTCCAACGTAAATATTTTATTTTTCCAAAAGTTTTATATAAGAAGATATTAGCGTTAGTCATAGAAAATGACTTACACGTTCTTATTTGGGTTTGTTTTATGCATTTTTCCATTTAAATTTTTAAATAATTGTTTTTGTTTGTTTGTTTGTAGGGTTGTTATCTAACTAACAATTGTTTGTTATTACACGAAAGAGGCATTTTTACACAGTAAAAAAAATAATAAATAAAAATTTTTTTTTTTTTCTTATGTAAGTGAAAATTTATTAACAAAAAAAAAGTAAAAAGGCAAAGCCCAATTTAAATTATTAAAAAAAACGACACAAAATTTAATAAAAATAAATAAATAAATAAATGTATTATTATTATTATTATTATTATTATTATTATTAGTTTTTTTTTTTTTTTGAAAATTCGTCGTTAACTTACTCGAATAGGTTGACCACCATCACCCATGTTTTTTCTTATATATTTCTCATCTTCTGCTTTGATAAAAAAATAAAAAAACATTTTTTTTGTTTTTGGTTTTTATGTTTGTGTTATGTTTGTTTTTCCTTTTTTAAAATAATAATAATTAAAAAGTTATCGATCGATCGATCGATCGATTGATTGAATGAATTATTTATTGATCAATTTTTTTTTTTTAAAAAAAAAGCTTCTTGTGTGTGTGTGTGTGTGTGGTTGTAAATGTACGCGATTTATTTTATTTAAATTTAATTTTAATAAGTTATTGAGATTGGTAATAATAATAATAATAATAATAATAATGACACTTACCGATGCACGGATTGTTATGTATTATGTTAAATATTCTATCGCATCTTTTTTTCATCGGATTATTTGGACATATGCAACCCAACATTGGAGTGCTTCGAAGTGTTTTCCACGCTTCCATGCACATATTTCTAGAAAAAATAAAAAAATTCGTCGGTTAAATTTATTTATTTTAAATAACAATTGAAATTTTAAATTTTGAAAGGTTTCCTTTCGTTTTTATTATTATCATTATTATTTATATTGTCGCGAATAAAATTTGAATAATGGTAATTTGAATCTTTGAAAAAAAAAAAAAAAAAAAAATATGGGAATTTTACAAAAAGTCGAGATATAACGAATAATAAATTAAATTTTTTTTTTTCGGATGCAGATATAAGCGGTGACGTAATACGCGGGGGTGTGGGTGCGAATGGGGGTGAAGGTACGTACCTGCTTTCCATTTTACAAACACCATCACGAACTTTACAATGCAATTTAAAATCTTCGAATAGTTTAATGCATTTATGTTCCAATTGACAAACTGAGAGTGCGTGGTTACAAGTCGGTAATGCTTGTACCGGATATGGATCATTATCTGTAATAAAAACAAAAAAAAAAGAAAATCTTTACCCGTAAATAATACAATTATTATTATTATTATTTAGTTTCGGTTAAAATACCCCCGCCCCCTCCCAAAAAAAAAAATAAAGAAAAATTTTATTTAATTATATATATATATTTTCCCTGTGTTAATTTATTGATGTGAATTTGCATGACTTATTTTTTTTATTATTGACGTCGTGTGTTTACTTATTGATTTTCTATTTATAGAATTTTTTCGAAAATTTTTTTTTTTTACCTTTTTTAAATATTAGATTGATTCAATACTGATTTACTTGTTTTTTGTTTGTTAACGGAAACGTAAAAAATTTTGTTTCCTTTCGTTTCCGTTTTTTTTTTTTACTACGGAAATAAAATAAATAAAAGTATTATTATTATCATCATCGTTATTGTTTTTGTAAAAGAATTTTCATTTCGTTTGTCGACGGGTTTTTTATAAACGTTATTAATTTTACTTATTTGTTTCTTAATTAATTAAAAAACGTACAAAACGAATTAATTTTTTTATTTTTTGGGGGGGCGAGTAGAGGGGTTTGTTGTTGTTGTTTTTGATCGATCGGATTTCGTTTTGTTTATATTTTTAACCCTTTAAAAAAAAGTTTGAGTCCGTTTTACTCATTGAAAATAATTAAAAATTTATTTAAGTTTCGATTTACAACACCCTCTCCCACCCACACATCCTCCCTCTACGCCTCCCCATCTCCCTCTTCAAACGATATTCGCAATAATATAAAAAAAAAAGGAATTTTTTTTTTTCCTTTGGCAAAAGCTCAATTTTCACTTTTAATTTTTTTACTTTTTTCACTCTTTTTTACTTTACTTTATAATATCCTTTCATAATTAATGGACACTCGAAATAAAAAAAACAAACAACAACAACAAACAACAAACAAAAAAAATAGAAAGAAACGTATAATATTAAAAAAAAAAATTCCCTATCTCTCTCTCTCTCTCTCTCTCTCTTCTCTCTCTACAGTCTACGCGTTCTCGTTAAATTTTTTTTTTCCTTTTATTTCCTTTTTTTTATTTTTTTTTAAAATCATTGTTCTCCTATTACAAATAATAATAATAATAATAATAATAAATGTTTACGTTCTTATTTTATTCAAAACAACAACAACAACAACAACGTTAGCAAAGGAATAAAACCTATTCTTTGTTTTTTATTTTTTTTTACCATTTGATTATTATTATTATTATTACGTTTTGAATCAAGTTTTTTTTCTTTTGTGTGGTTTTTTTTTAGGACCTTTTTTTTTTTTTTAAAGAGTAACGTACGAAAGATAATGATAATTTATTATATGTAATAAAAAAAATATCTTTTTAACACTCTGATATAATTTAAATTAATTTATTTTAATAAATAAATAATAATAATAATAATTGTTTTTAAAAAAATTAAAAAAACTGACTTTATTCATTTATATATGGAATAAAGAAAAAGGAATGAATGAATGAATTAATTCAACTTTATGAATAACAACTACAAATTTTTTTTTATATATAAAAATAAGTTTTTGTTTGTTTGTTTGCTGTTGTTGTTGTTGTTGTTGTTGCTGTTAGATTTATTCACATAAAAAAGAGAGAAAGAGAGAGAGAGAGAGAGAAAGAAAGAAATATTGTTATACGAACATAAATTATTAATAAATAAAAAAAAAAGCACTAATGGAAACCTGATGTTTTAAATATTCCTCTATCAAATATAAATGGAATAATTTAAAAATAGAAGAGAAAGGAGGTCGTAGTAAACTAGGGAAATAGAAAACAAAAAACGAAAAAAAAGATGAAAGAAAAAAGATAGAGAGAGAGAGAGAAGAATGACACGGGAGCCATGATGGGGGAAATTTTTATTTTTATTTTTTTATATTTTCCTTTCCTTTATTTTCATTTCGAGTCTATTTGTTTTATTTTATGGCGTTTAAAACAAACAAACAAACAAACGAAAAAAAAAAAAGTAATTTTTATTTTTTATTTTTTTGTATGCAAAATCTTAAAAAAAAAAAAATTTACATCCAACAAATTTTCTTTTTTTATATTTTTTTAACCTTTTTTTTTTTTTTTTTACCTGACAGTAGATAAATTTAAGTTTTTTTTTTTTTTTAAGGTATTTTAGCAGTCATGCAGAACTTTTTGGTTTTTTTAAAAAATAGGAAGAAGAAAAGCGAGAAACAGGAAAAGGGAAAATGAGGTTGAAAAGAACAAAAAAAAACAAAAAAAAAACAGTGAGAATGAGAGAGTGAGAGAGAGAAGGGAAAAGGAAATTAAACGTGACTGAATATAAATTTTTTTTTTTTACCTTTTTTTAAAACATAAATGCAGGGATGATCAAAAAGTGAATCTCTAAATTGATTACATTCTGGATCTAAACTAGGTTCACGGCACAAACAGGTTGGACGAAAAAATTGAAATCCCTGAAGTGTTCTAAGAGCTGCTTGACATTTAATAACCGTAGTCGTTGAACATGCAACTGAAAAACAACAAACAAAAATTTTTTTTGTATTTAATAATAATAATTAATAAAAATAAATAATAATTCGGCTCCGATTATGTTTGAAAAAAACAAACAAACAAACAAAACAAACAAAATTTTTTTATAATAATGATTGTGGAAAATTAAATAAAAACTTATTTTTTCAAATCTTTGTTAATAAAAACATAAACTCGACCACACACACGAATTATTTGTTTTTTTTTTATAGATAAATTATCGATACAATGTTATCAGATAATTGGAAATCTCTATTCCTATCATCATTATTATTATTATTATCATTATTATTTATTGATAAGAAAACGTAATCGTTGTTAACGTGGAGCACCACCACCTTTTTTTTCCTTCCTATGATTTGTTTTGTAGAAAATAAAAAATTAACAAGAATTATTAATACATATAACAATCGAATAAATCATTTATTTATTTATTTATTTATTATATTCTATAGAAAAAGGGATAAAATAATAATAATAATAATAATGATAATAATACTTCATATTTTCCGTTATTTGTAATGACTTTTATAATAAGAAAAATAATTTTATTATTATTAAAATTTAACGAATCGCGATGTTTTCGCGATGTCGTCATAACAAACAATCTTTACATATTTATTTTTTGAAATTTGCATAATAATAATAATAATAATAATAGTGATAATGATAATAAAATTATCGAGAAAAGAGTAAAAAAAAAAAAAACGTTAATCTTAATTTTTTGTTTTTATTTTGAACGCGCTGGTTCGTTATTATTTGTAATCGGGTTTAAATAATTTTTTTTTTTAATATCCGGGAAAGAGAGGGAAAGAGAGAGAGTGAAAAACTTTTTATTATGTCGTTTAAATGATTTTAAATTCACAAACGAGTTATTATTATTATTATCATTATTATTATTACTTAAATTAATTTGTTAACTCGTAAAAAGTTTCGTTTTTTTTTTATTACGATGACGACGGTGAAAAAAAAAATCAATGAAAATTTTATATTTTTATAAATTAATAATAAAGAAGTAAAAAAAAAACGTGGCAGAAGACAAACAAATTATAATTTTACGATGTTTATAATTAATAGAAAAAAAAGTATTAAAAAATTTTTTTTATTCCATTTAAAAAAAAGAAAAGGAAGGAAAATTTT